TATAATTGCTGATATAAACAATTTTTAATGATAATCTCTTCTCTTTCTCTGTAATATTTTAATCTATCACTAAGGGTTTTTTTTTTAAATTTAAAATATAATTGTTTTATAAATTTAATAAAAAAATGTTTTGTAAGATAATACAAATGTAATCTCCTTTTACCAAAAAGATTAAGATGTATTAAATCTAAAGCTATTAAGTTATATTATATGTCATAAAAAGAATTTGCAGTATGATTTCATTAGCAATATAGATCTCCTGTACCCAGAAAATAATGTCATTTTCGAATTGTAAAATTCCCTAGAAGCAATGTGTCGATTCTTCGACTGGCACACGGCTGAAGCCAAGCTTTCAAACGAAGAAAACCACGTTTTGTCAAATTTAAAATTCAGTTTCCACCCAATTTCACATTTGCGGTGGAAAAAAATCGTATTTCGAGATTGAAGAAACACGACAAGAATTTTTATTTTCGTACAAGTTTGTATTTATTACCGTTCTGTATACAGCGAAATCATAACTTCGTATCTCCGACACAAAACACTTAACAATATACAGAAAATTGTTATTAATAAGAAACAGTGATATGGACATGTAATGTTGACACAGCATTATAAACCTGGCATGTACAAAGGTCTAAAACAATCAGCGAGATCTCCATCTGTCCACAATAGCGCATCACACTTCATTTACTCAAACCACTCTACACAGGATCTTTTTTTTTTGTGAATAAATAATTTAATTTATTGATATTTTAGTTTTTATTCTGGTGTGCTTTTTTATGTTCGGTCTAACTTACATATCTTTGGTGGGAAGAACGACTAGTGTTTTAGTAACCGAACTTAAAAATTTTTTCACGTAACAGAAAGAATAGAATTGAATCCCGATATTTTGATCTTATTTACAATATTTACATGCAATTTGATAGAAAACAAAGCGAAGGAAGATTTAGATAGTTTTTTTATGTGGGCAGTTTCGATACATACTGAAGAAACAGCACGCTTAATCATTCAATAGTATAAATCAGATGTGAACGGAATGTAAATAGAAGCTAAATCTGTAATACTCGATATGTAGCAACAAGGAATCAAAACATTCGCTATTCCAAAAACGTGCCCATTCTTTCTCGTTGAAAGTTAGTTTAAACATTAAAAAAAATGCAGTTGAGATAAATAAGTTATAAACGAGTATGGTCCCTTTTTAAATGTGCTATGCTATGTTACAAAATATAAATTGCAGTGATGAACAAAGCAAATATTGCAAGGAATATAATAAAATTATATAAAGTAAAAGAGTTCGATTAATAACATCAATCTTCTCTTAGTTAAGATGGTTCTCACCTTGAACATCGACGACGATATACCAAGTAATTGCCATCTGCAGACATAAACATAGGCACAAACGACTTCGAATTGATTCTTTTTTACAGGCACTCTCTTATCTCTCGGCTCTGTTCTCATAGTAGTTTTCCACGGATCAGTTCCTTTGATTTTCTGCTGATTACCTAATTTTTATAGTAACAACATTTGGAAAAGGACGTGTTTATAAAGATAATACCCTGTTCCCAAGACAGTTTTTAATACTCAGAAACTTCCAACGGAAGAAATAACGGTGGAATAATTTTCCACGGACTCTTTTGCAACTTCCTTCAACGTACGTTTGCTGAATCGGTATAAGGCACTCGTTTAAAATCACATTCTTGTTACTGTTAATTAAACGACGGTGTAAAGCTGTGAGCACCAAAATTTTGTGGTATAATTACACCGTTTGAATAGGCAGGAACCTCCGCTAACGAATACATCTGGGCTTCTTTAAAGTTTATGCCATTGAATCCATCGCACGGATTGTTCGAATGAACACATACACGTACACAGACACATCTACGAGTAAACACCCCCACGACATTTATTTGCAGCTTTCCGGAGCACGTGTCGACTTTGACGAACTTCCATACCTTCGGATGAAAGGAAGGGACCTGGTCCCACACTAATTTATAGTTCACCAGACGAATAGGTGTAGCGGAGACTGGCGTCATACAAGATGGCCGTCCATTTCGTCGCGAACGACAACACCATCTGGTGGAGGCACCATCTGATGAGATTGGTGAGGTGGCACCGGGGAACCCTGGTAATTTGGATTGAACGTTGTAAGAAGCGGAGTGGCGTTGGCTACCACATGCGGTGCAACTGGTCCTACTGGATAAGGAATGTAACGAGCATTCTCACACATGTCGATATTTACAACACTAGCGTGTCCGGGTACTATCGATGGACTTCCGACTTTGTATCCCACCTGTAAATTTAAAATAACATATTATAACATTCAAAAGATTAAATCTCACTTTTTAAAAATAAATTCAATCCAATGTTAAACATTAAACTTAAATAACTTTAAAATTGAAAAACTTAAAAAAAATTTCTAATTTGACTTAATTTTTTCCTAATTTAGAAATGCCGAGTAATTATTTCCAACAATTTTAATTACAGTTTATTTTATTCTCAATGCTGCTATTGCTTGAAGAACAAAAATTACAATTCGAATTAATCTCCTTGGTTTACCAGAATTAAAATTAAAATTTTAANCATATATATTCATATATTTTAATATATAATTTTTTAAAATATATTAAAAAATAAAAATGAATAATTCTTAAATATCTCTAATAATTAAAAACTAAAGAATTCAAAAAAATATATTTTTATTTTAGTTTTTTTTGTTGTTGCATATTCATTGAAATGTCATTTGATCTAGTTCATCATAAGGGATGAATTCATTAAAAAACAAAAATGATCTGCCTGTATTACTCCAATCGATACTATTCTAGGATACTAATATATCGAATGTATAGCTTAGAATTTTCTGCATTATGCAAAGAGAAAATTTTAAAAAAAATATATATATATATATATATTTTATGCGCCTGTTAAAATTCTGGCAGTAAAATATGATAGCTCTTTTCGATCGGCTTTACTAGATCGATAAAACTTTAAAATTTCTCTCTTTTATTAGTTAAAGAATCGATGATTAATATAATAATAGAGTTTAAATATGTGTAATTATTGTACTACATTTTCATATTAGTAAATATTTTTATTATAAATACTATAAATCGTTTATAATTTACATTAAATTTTAAAATTTTTATAAAATTCTGAATGTATTTTTTGAAAATTTTTATTATTTCTTCGGTTAGGAATTTAAAGCTAGAAATCTAATCTCTAATAAAGCAACAAGATTGAATTTTATATAAAAATCAAAGAGAAAAAAATCAATTTTTGTTACCGTATATATATATATATATTTTACAAAATAATAAGGAAAATAATAATTTTATTATAATAAAGTAATTTTCTATACATTAATGTATTCATTAAGTGTTTTGCAGATATTACTTACCTATTATGTGCTCAAGTTTCATTTTTAATGGGTTAATATATTTTCAAATTTTGTTCAATGATTAACCCTTTATAAAAATAAAACAATTTTCTTAATTCGAGTTAAAATTCACGTTTGTTAATTTATAAATTCATATTTCATGAAATGGACTTAGTTGAAACTTTAGCAATTAATTTTTCTGTTGAACTAATACTTAACATCTCTTCTCAATTAAAATAAATTTTACTTAATTGGAGAAATTTTTTTTATTTTATAATTGACAGTTCGTGAGAGAGAAGAAATTTTTAATCTAAAAATAGCTCTTTCTTAAATGACAATTCTCTTCTACTTTTAGAAGTCATAATTATCTTCGTGATTTTTCTCAATTGTCAAATTAACGATTAAATAATTAAACACCAAGTTTTAGAATTATTCTTAATTTAATTTCATTATTATTCAGAAACTAACCATTATAGTGCCAAGACTTCTAAACCATTCAAACTCTCCGGTCTCTCTCTCTCTCTCTTTCTCTCTCCATCCTCCAGAATCCTTCAAACTTCAGAATGCTGTTTTAGCATTCTACACCGCGATGCAAGTTCAAGAACATCGATAAAATTTATAAAAAGAATTTGAAGATGTGGACTTCATTTTTAAAATACGTTATTTCCAATACATACGAGTATATATTGTGTATAGAGTAGACTATATGTATATATTTATGTAGCCTCATTTCAATGATATAACTCATTAAAATATTTAATGTTTATGCGAAAGATACATAAAATATAAAGAAATAAAACATGTCAAGATAAAAATAAAAGAAAGTAGTTAAGAAAGAACACCCCACTAAATCAAAATCAACGAGAGAAATGTGTAAAAAAATTATAATTAAGTACAACCATTGTTGTGTGCATGGCATATTTTTCGAAACAAAAAAAAGAAAAAAAATAGAGAAAAACCCACATGATCCCATTTTCTTCTACACAGAATTTGCATCGAATAAATTTTATTTTACAAACACAGAATAATAGAGAGTGTTTGAATAAGATAACTGAATATTCGCCACCCTATAAATGATGGCAGAAAACACCGGATGGGAGGGAATGATATTTCGACGATATCGCACACGAAAATGGTCTCCACGGAAATTCCTACATTGAAAGATAGAAAAACGCCCAGTCCGGCCCTTCGACAATAAAGGATGCAACCGATCTACGCTATGAAGTTAACATTAAAAGAACAAAGTCTAAACAAACAAAAACATATCGATTTTCTTTTATTATTTAAAAAGTTCCTTTTCTCCTGTACCATACCAGTTCTTGGCTATTGAGCTCGAAATTCAGGAAAATATTTCTTTTTTTTCCTACTATCAGAGCTCGAAAATAAAGAAGCAAAGGGGTGTTTATTAGACTCACCCATTAATTCTATAACCAACGATTCAGGGCGTTAGATCCGTTCGTTTCGTGACTCTCGGGAGTTGCTTATATGTTTAACTAACCTACGCCTCCTAGTTATAATAATTCCTGTACAGTGCGCAAATTAATTAAATTTGAGAGTAAACGAACGAGATCGAAAAGAAGAAAATGTGTAAAGAAAATAAAATTATTCTAAAGTTTTATATACTCACTTGAAGTAGTGACTCTGACGAACTTTTCGGAGACTGAACTCTCTCCCAGTTCGTTGATAGCAATCAATTGAAAGACGTAAGTAGTTCCAATCTGTAAATTTGTGACCGTAAACTCGGTGGCGTTGGAAGGAAACACATCCGTGAACATGAGTGGATAACTATCCAGCACCTGGTACCTGACACGAAACGATTGCTCTCTTCCACCGTCGAAACCCGGTAGCCATTTTAAACGAACAGAGTCATGCGTAACATTAAGTGCTTTGATATGAATGGGAGGATCTGGCACGGCTGTTAAACCATCAAAAAATTAATAAGCGATAAGAATTGGTCATAAAAAACTATATACACGGTAATTAAGACAACAATAATAAATTTATTGAGAAAAATCTCTATTATTTTAACATTAAATATCGAAAAAGAGACATAGAGAATATATTAAATACTAAACTCTATTTTTGAAATTCGATTTTTGTAAGTTTTTCGACTTACACAATCCTTCTAAGCTGATGGTACTCCTGTCTGTTCCCAATTCATTCCTGGCAACGCAATCGTAAGATCCGTAATCCACGGTACGGATTTGATTGACGTTAAGAACGGTTTCCCAGGTAATATAATCCACTTGGTACGATTCCATTTCGAATTTATTACTGAGATAATCTCCTACACTCTCCCCGTTCCTATACCAACTGAATGTAATATTTGGTGCACCGTTGGCACGACACGTGATTTGAGCATTTTCTCCTTTATCACCCGCAGCTTTTAAAAATGGAGCAGACTTGTCGATAACTGGCTTATCTGTGGAAAACATTAAATAGGATTGAGTCGGGTTTAAATAGAGTCCCAGGTGAATCAGTATCGTCAGAAAAGAATCTAGAAAAGACATTTCTACAAAACAACTAAATTATCTTTTCGATTTTAAAGAATTGCAAAGCGTAGAATTTCTAAGCGTTATGTTTATATATATTTTTATTACTACCGATTTCTTGGTTATTTAATATTTTACATTTAAACTTGTAAATTTTCAAATCGCCTTAGGACAAAAAACTCACGTTTCACGACGAGAATTGCAGTTTTGGCATCTTCTGTGCCAACACCGTTGTTGGCTGTGCACGTAAACTTTCCCGAGTCGTCTCTTGAGACGTTGTAGACAGTTAAGTAAGATTTTCCGCCTTCGGCTCTCTGCTGAGTTCTTATCATGTCGAAATCGGAGCGCGACCACGTGATCAGATCGTCGGTGATGGGGTTGGCATCAGCCACGCACTCCAAGAAGGCATTATCCCCTTGATCTACAGTAACGATCTCTGTTATCCTCGTAATTTTCGCACCACCTGATAATATAAACATATCTTATGTAAATAATTTAAAATTTAATTGCTATTCTTTTCTATATACTAAGTGTAAAGCAACCATTAATTAAATTATATTAATAAACATTATAGCGTGTTAGTAGCCGAGGTAATAAATATGCATCAAATTTAATATCCGAAAATTTTCAAGTAAACATTTTATGATACTATTATGCGGAATAGCCCTTTTACACAGTAGCGAAGTGGATAAAAGGGATGACAAATGATAAAAAATAATTCACGTACGGTGAACATTGACTTGAATTGTTATTTTATTGGTGCCTTCTTCGTTAGTTGCCTCGCAGCTATAAGCACCTCCGTCGTCCCTTTTTGCTCCGTTAATATGAAGAAGAGGCCCTACAGCGAAGATCCTGTACTTTGTATTGTCCGCATCTTCCACGCTGGGTACGACGTTTCCACCAGTTGTCCAAGAATATGTGATGGACGAAGGATTGGCTTGAGCGGTGAGATTGATTATAGTTGTCTCCCCTTCAATAACGTCGTAGGTCTGGAGGGAAAACGACTCTGGAAATTCTGGTTTGTCTGAAAGATTCAGTCATATCTCATTATTCATTCTGGAAAATAAAGGTATTTGTAAAAATGCCATACGCGATATATTTATATGTGTATTTGTTTCAGAGTATGTCAATATCTTTGACAATTGAAAAGAAATGCCAAATTCTATTTTTAAGAAAAAAATAATTATTTAAAATTTATTTATGTAATTACATATATATTAATTTTAATAAAACTCTCAAATATATTAAGTGTAATGTATTCATGAAATAATTATTAAGTTGACTATTTAATAAACAAATAGCAAGTGCATCGTAATTGTTAATCCGAGTCTGCACTTTAGATGATATTTACATTATGTTCACGAATATCTTACATCAGAGATTCCAGAAAATCATATTTATAATAATATTTACAATTTAAATATTGATATACCGCGTCAAAAATAAAAGCGTAAACATTAAATATAATTCTTAATTTAAGCTTCGTTCAAACCAATTACAGAAAATGAGAATTTATAACATCAATTTTAATTATAATTTTATTAATTTACTATATTGGAAATAAAGTGAAATGCATTTAATATTATTATTACTTAATGGATACGGATCAATTAATTTCTTTATCTTAATTTTATTTTAAAATTTAATGAATTTTAATGTTGATTACATAATTAAAACGATTAAATTCAAAAGATTATTTATTAAAACGGTATCAAAACTTTTATTTGTATTAAGTCAAAAACGAAAGTTTCAAACAATTTAAATTAATGTACAAACAAAAGAATCATCTTATATTCATGTGCAATAATCTGTAGCAATAATGTTATTGTGCAATAAACAATCAAAATACAATTAAATTTTTAAAACACTGTTAAATATTACAATAATGAAAAGATGCCTAAATTTATTTTTAAATATAAATTCGAAAGTTTTCTATCTAGTTTGATTTTTTTGCAAGTTGGAACCATTGGACATAAAGGTATCCAAAAATCAGACTCGTGCATATATAAATTTGAAAATACTTTATTATAATTTCATAGTGATTTTTAATATAAAATTTCTGATTGATTTAATATCTGGGAACTATATTACACTATTTTATATAAAATTAAATTAAATGAATAATTCTAAAAATTGCAGNTCTTAAATATCTCTAATAATTAAAAACTAAAGAATTCAAAAAAATATATTTTTATTTTAGTTTTTTTTGTTGTTGCATATTCATTGAAATGTCATTTGATCTAGTTCATCATAAGGGATGAATTCATTAAAAAACAAAAATGATCTGCCTGTATTACTCCAATCGATACTATTCTAGGATACTAATATATCGAATGTATAGCTTAGAATTTTCTGCATTATGCAAAGAGAAAATTTTAAAAAAAATATATATATATATATATATTTTATGCGCCTGTTAAAATTCTGGCAGTAAAATATGATAGCTCTTTTCGATCGGCTTTACTAGATCGATAAAACTTTAAAATTTCTCTCTTTTATTAGTTAAAGAATCGATGATTAATATAATAATAGAGTTTAAATATGTGTAATTATTGTACTACATTTTCATATTAGTAAATATTTTTATTATAAATACTATAAATCGTTTATAATTTACATTAAATTTTAAAATTTTTATAAAATTCTGAATGTATTTTTTGAAAATTTTTATTATTTCTTCGGTTAGGAATTTAAAGCTAGAAATCTAATCTCTAATAAAGCAACAAGATTGAATTTTATATAAAAATCAAAGAGAAAAAAATCAATTTTTGTTACCGTATATATATATATATATTTTACAAAATAATAAGGAAAATAATAATTTTATTATAATAAAGTAATTTTCTATACATTAATGTATTCATTAAGTGTTTTGCAGATATTACTTACCTATTATGTGCTCAAGTTTCATTTTTAATGGGTTAATATATTTTCAAATTTTGTTCAATGATTAACCCTTTATAAAAATAAAACAATTTTCTTAATTCGAGTTAAAATTCACGTTTGTTAATTTATAAATTCATATTTCATGAAATGGACTTAGTTGAAACTTTAGCAATTAATTTTTCTGTTGAACTAATACTTAACATCTCTTCTCAATTAAAATAAATTTTACTTAATTGGAGAAATTTTTTTTATTTTATAATTGACAGTTCGTGAGAGAGAAGAAATTTTTAATCTAAAAATAGCTCTTTCTTAAATGACAATTCTCTTCTACTTTTAGAAGTCATAATTATCTTCGTGATTTTTCTCAATTGTCAAATTAACGATTAAATAATTAAACACCAAGTTTTAGAATTATTCTTAATTTAATTTCATTATTATTCAGAAACTAACCATTATAGTGCCAAGACTTCTAAACCATTCAAACTCTCCGGTCTCTCTCTCTCTCTCTTTCTCTCTCCATCCTCCAGAATCCTTCAAACTTCAGAATGCTGTTTTAGCATTCTACACCGCGATGCAAGTTCAAGAACATCGATAAAATTTATAAAAAGAATTTGAAGATGTGGACTTCATTTTTAAAATACGTTATTTCCAATACATACGAGTATATATTGTGTATAGAGTAGACTATATGTATATATTTATGTAGCCTCATATTCAGTATAAAAATATATATATATTAAAAATATATAAGTTTGTAAAGAAATATAACAGAATTCTTTTTATCGTATAGAACTTCTTCTTTTATATTATTACTTTTTAAAGTAAACAAATAAAAAAATTACTTATTTAATAATAATAAAAATTTTTTTATTAAAAGATGCATTCAGAATTCCAATTTGATATTGAATTGTTGAAAAACTATTCAATCGGAAATTTATATAATAAGCATAGTTGCAGGATACAATTGAATAGTTTCTTTTATGATTTCTCAAGGGAAACGTCTTACTTAATATTTATATCTAAAGCTATTTAATATAAATAAGGAATTTAAAAGTTAAATATTTTAATAGGATAATAAGGCATTTGTTTTTATAACGGAACATTTGTAATTAGTTGAGTATCTTGCAATACCTGTTACATTGTAGATAAAATCTTCGCGTGTTTCGTGTTTTGAAGAAGGGGGAAAAAATGTCACGCGATGAAAGCATTTGAATATTTTTACTATAAAAGGCGGCGATAATAAACATCACTAGATAAAACCGATATTTAACAAATTCCGCGCTTTTTACTGAATTTTTCGTAGAAAAAATTCCTGAAGCTATTCTTTTTTAATCATTATAAGTAAAATAAGAAAGAAACTCACATAGGACATTGAGCGTGACGGCATCGTGAGCACTTTGTTGCAATAAATGATTAGTGGCTTGGCACGTATAAACCGCACCGTCGTCACTGGATGTCACGTTAAGATGTAGCAAGTTTCTTACGGATTTTCCGCCATTTGGGGCATCAAACACACCATCGGGAGTACCCAACACAAGAAAGCCATCTTTCCACCACGTAATTGCTGCCTGAGGGTTACTGCTTCCAGAATCACACACAAGAGTCACCTATTTCATTTCAAAGAAAAAAATCATCTTCTTTCATTATTACATAAAAAATAAATAAAAACCAAAAGAGAATACAAGAAGCGAAACATAACACAATTCTCACTCGACTTATTTATTATATGACTCGAATCTTTTTCAATAAAAATAATATTTACTTTTATAAAACTTCTATTAGTTTCAATTTTCTGTTTTTTTTATTACCTTTTGATCTGCTTTGGGCTGTTTAGGTTTGATCTTGATACTGACTCCGCTGGGTGGAACTGAAACGGAAGTAATTTTCTCTACATTTTTGATAGGAAAAAATCTTTTTATTACATCTAAAAGTATGTATGAACTTTTATTATAAAAATACAAAGTTGAGATCAGTTTAAGAGGTTTAAGACGATTGAAATTCTTACGAATTCGAGCTAGCAAAGGAAAAATCTCGATACAAACAAAAACCAATAATTACAATGTACTGTGAGTTTGACTTTTCTGACCAAAGGCTCGGGAGCTGCAGAATTGGTGGCTTCACATCTAAAAACGGCTCCGTTATCACTGGATTTAACAACTATGGATAATTCACTGGTGACCACGTTGCCATTAGTGGTGGAAGTAGACTTGATCTGAAGAAAACAAAACAAAAAAAGCTCTTTTAGAGATCTATAAATAGAAACAAAAATAGCCACCAACCGAATATAAATGACGTCGAACAGAGATTTCCTTTCTGGATGCCAAAATACATCGAATATATTCCGATCGGATAAGAATGGTTTTAAAATGCCTACCTCCTTCCCTTCCCTGAACCATTTAACTGATGGCAGAGGATTTCCTCCGTGCGCCACACACGTCATCCGATGTAAAGTGTCCGTCCGGATAGGTGTTCCTTCCGCATAACCAAAGATGTTGGGTTGGTCGGGAGGATCTATAAATGGAAAGTATTCGAGAAAGAAAAACACATTTTTAAAGTGAAAAGTCCAGACTAAAGCTTCTACTATTACTAAACTTGGCACAAAAGCTATTATTTAGGCAGTAGTAGTAGAGGGAAAGAGATGATAACTTACAGAGAACACTAAGAACTGCCGTCTCCACCACAGTTTCTCCCAGGGCGTGATTAACGGCGTAACAAGAAAACATCTTCATGTTTCTCTCCTGTAAAAATTAATAAAACTTATAATTATCATCTATTCTGTTTAAAAGATATTATATTTTTTTAAAATTAAAATTAAGAAAAAATTCAAATAAAACTCACAAAAAAATAATATTAAAAATTGGATAAATTTGTAAAGGATTTTTTTTTTAATTTTCTCTTCGTTAAGTGTAAGATTATTTTCAGTGACGTCACCGTAAAACGAAGTAAAATTAATGACGAAGAAAATAATAATAAATTACATCCGAGCCAAAATTACAAAATAATCGATTTAAACATTTTTTTTAAATTTTAATTTTAATCTCCTCATTATTTTTTGAAACATAAAACCACCTTATAATCGTTTTGAATTTACTTATGAATAACATATAGACAGGAATTTGTTCTTACTTTCGAAGAGGGAGAGAAAGATAGAAAGAGAATACGTAACAAAAGTTTCTAAAATATATAAATCTCTCGAATAAATGCTATTATGTAAAATTGCGTAAGCGTTGTATGGAATAATGTATTTACTTCATACAATTCGTGGGCAAATAAAACAAAAATGGAAAGAATTCGAGAAATAAATTACCGCAAAAATCGGAATGGAAAGTAAGAAAAAGAAGCGTCACGTTACATAAATATGAATGAATGAAAGCACGTGACTAATTCGCGCGAGATGCTGAAGTTAAACAAGAACCGGTTATTCGACTTCTATTCACGAACTTCATTGTCCAATAATATATTAAATAAAAACAAACATAAAGAAGATATAAATAACCATAAATTAAGTTAAATTATCATCAATTTTTTTTAATTATACGTAGGAAAATCGTTAAGATATTACTATTCTGCTTGATATGGAATACAACGATCCGAAAACGTTTACTATTTTCAAGATATTTTCATCTTCGTAACAGTTCAATAAGTTACAAAGAAAAATTATGTTAAGAGAAGAGTTTCAGACATAAATATGGAAGAATTGAGAATTTTTGCCTTTACCAGACAACCGTTGACATGTTTTTAGCGATCATTCGATTGGGTTGAGGCAATTTGTTCCGGCCAGCCGAGTGTTTATGTCAACTTTACAGAGAGAAACAATACGTCACGACTTCACCAGCAACGAAAAATACAAGACCACAAAACGGATACTTGTTGAAATCATTTTACTTCACCTAAAGCGGGTTATACGATGTAGTAAAATCCTCATAGAGATGAGCAACCATCACTACTTAAAATAAACAGCTACTATATATGATCTGTCCGATAAGATAAAATTTTAGCTCCTTCCAAATTTTTATTTTTATTTATTTTTTCCTATCGAAGCTGCAACAGAAATCGTCAAGAAAAGTAGTCGTTACGAAACGCTACAGCTCGATGCATCAAATATTTTTTTCATAAAATCGAAATAAAATATTTTTTTTTCTTTTTTCTTTTTTAGAAAATGTCGCGCAATATTGGAAGACGGCACCTTAGCTTTTTCTTTAAATCGAAACTTTAATTAAACGAATTTAATAACATTAACCACAAAATCTATCGATTTAAGAGGAGGATGCTTTCTTTTTCTTCCGATTTTATAACTAAAACTTCTTCAATAAAAAAAAATATATAGTGGTAATATAAAAAACATTAAAACAATGCTTTATCAAAATCACGTAATCTTTACAGAATGGAATATCGAATCAGAACTTTAAACAATAACAATCCAATATGTTCTGAAATTTCAGTAATTCTGAGAAATTGTAGAAGATTTTAGTTGGTTTCATTGGAAAAAATTGATTTAATTTGTTTACATGTTAAAACACCGCAACACATTATTTACAATTTATCGAAATATGCAAATTTGTAAACTTAAAAATAAAAATCTGTGAATTAAAATTTTTTTAATTTACAATTCTCAGAAGGAAAAAAAATCCCCCAAAAAAAGGTTGTTTTTAATCAGTTGGGAAATATATATATTTTTTTGTTTATCTTTGTAGAATTTGAATGAGGCAAATTATTTAATTTTTTTAAATTACTGTAATTTCCTTTCTTTTTAAAAAAAAACGAAAAAGAAAAATAAAGCTTACTTCTGAAATGAAAATTTTCCAAATGAAAACTGACCTCATTATTATTTATTTATTTTTACAATAATTCGAAAACAAAAATAAATAGAAACCTCATTCGAGTGAATTATTTTTAAAATTCTAACTATACATTTATTTTAAGCTTAATGAATTAAGCTATACTGTAGACGAATGTTTGACACTCTTAATAAATTATAAAGCATAGACAGATTTATCGACTACCTGAAAATTTATCATCTTTTAAGTTAATATAGACTACAGTAGATGTAAAATAAATCACGAAATGCCTCTGACCTGTCCCGTGATGGTGACAGTGATGTTGGATGACGTCACCCAGCCTCCTCCGGGGTCGGCTATGGTGGTACTGTTGGATTGTATGGGTCTTCCATCCACAACCCAAGATATTTCTGCAGGAGGATTACTCGGATCCGTAATGCACATCATGGTGACGTTATCTGCCGCTTTGGCTTCCTTGGAACCGCTAATAGTGACCTTTGCAGGAGCAACTACATAAAAAAACAAAAACACTGATTTAAATAAAATTTACGTAAAGTTATTTACGTCTTCATATATATTTAAGTGAATATATATTCAAATTTCGCTTTCAGAATCAAATTCAATGACCTAGTTTCGGTTACTTTACAAAATGGTTCTTGGTATAAAAGAATCAAAGTGAAAATATAATACTCGTTTCGTGTTTTAAAAACGTTTACTTTTATGTACCAACCAAAGATTTTTTTCGATTTATTTGGTTTAAGAGTGATTGGTTTATATATAAAAAGCTATTCTTCGAACAAAATAGGTTGCGGCGTCAAACAGATGGTATCGAATTTTAATGTCTTCCTTATCACCTGACTTTTTTTTTATACTCACTAAATTTGCCATTTTGATGTTTACATTATTCATGTGGGATTTTTAGCACGTGGCGATTATTTAAAGCATGGCAAAGGCTAAAGTGTTTGATGCGCTCTCGGTAATTTCCAACGAATTGAAGCACTTAAATATTCCTCAGAATATAAGTGACGGAAAAAACATCGGGAAAGCACGCTAACTCTTGGAGAAACAAAACACGTACCAAACATTCCAGACTGCAAATGCTGGATAAAGTAAACATTGTGACTGAGAAAATCCGTCCCCCGCTTCTCTATCTAACCTTTATTACGAGAAAAGCTAGCAATCAATGAAAGACTCGCGCTGTAAGCTCTGCGGAAAATAAATGGAATTTTCAAAACATTCAGTTCGCGCTGTATCAACTGCATTCGATGCTTCACTTTTCAAACCTTTCCAATTTTATCAAGAAATTCCTTCCGTTCCAATATATACTTTTGTATTCGTTCGAGTAAAACAAATGGAAATTTTTTCCCGGATATCTATAGCTCTGTACAAAAGGATACGCTAGTGGATTAGTAAACATCGAATCGTTTCTTCGAAACTAATAATTTTTCATAATATTATGAATTCTAACCACGATTATTTAAATATATAGACATATGCTATTGGAAAACTTTGCTATTAAAGGTAGATATGGATTAACAAAAGTTTTTCCAATAAAAATAACAATATATATATTTTTTCATCTGATTAAAATTAAACTAACAAAATTCTAAACTTTCTAATTAATGTAGAAAATATAGGCATAAATTTAACGTTGGCATTTAAATAATGGAAGAATTTTTAAGGAAAAATAAAGTAAATTATTCCTAATGTGAATAAATAAATTTACATTTTTTAAAAAATTGTATTTGCAGCGTTTGATTTAATTTTTAATGAAATCTTAAGGAAAAATAAGTAAATTAAAGCAGAGAAAATGTGGTAGAAGGTATCTCCCGCCGCATCCTCATTTACCCCATGCCGCAGTCGATCGAAAGAGGAAACGAATGGACAAAAGTGATAGTGAGTCGATCGTTAGCGAGAGATGCCGAAAGGTAGCAGACAGAAAGGGTACGCTAATGACATCTTTTTTGAATTAACCGATGAACCGTGAATCGTTGCTACAATATTGTAATAAGCAAAAGTTTTCCAATTAGTAAATAATATTAATAAAAACTTATTGTTTACAGAAATAAAGTGTTTCTAAAGACTGAAAGTTTCGTTATTAACACCAGAAAATTCATACACGGCATTGAAATAACAAGTTAATGTATGGTAGTTAAAGGGCTGTAATTCAAACGGGCGACGTTTGAAAATTTTTGCATTCGTAGAGAATATTCAGACTTCGTTTACCACTCATGACTTACAGGTTAAGAGAAGCGAAAGTGTAATGAAACCAGAGCACGTGTTCGAGTTATGTAATTACTTGAGTTACCGGTGACAAGCGAATTGAAAAGGCTCTTAGTATTCAAAGTGTTACATCTGATTAGAATTTGGACGAACCGGCGCTAGTACAATCTTTCTCTTATTCAAATAATACTTAAGAGTAGAGAAAGAAAGTCTACTTGAAAAGAAAAGAAAAATAAACAAGAGGGAGTAAAAATTGATTAACTTACACTGAACTGTAAGTTTTGCCGTAGCCGTCATTGGTTTCGGACTGACGACATTAAAAGCCTCACACTTGTACAAGGCATTATTATCAGATGCATCCACCAATATAGTGATGGTATTGGTTGACTCTCGACCATTGGTTGTGTAACTGAAATCCACCTGTTCTTCGTTCTTATACCATATAAGCTGAGCTAAAGGATTACCGCCTCGGGATGTGCAGGAAAGGGTCAACGTATCTCCCATCCGAATAGTTTCTCCTTCTTGATAACCTTCTATTTCTGGAGGCCCCGGAGGAACTAGCCAAATAATGAATAGAAGATTAAGATTGCTTTTTATTCATCCATTATATACTCCCTTGCCTTATTAATTATTCACTATAAGAAATCAAATACATAAAAGCTACTAAATTTTTATACATTTGTGGTATACATTTATTTAAGAATTTAAGAAATTAATTACGTTCATTACTCCCATAAACTGTATTAGTTTTTCAAATATTACTAATGTAATTAATTAAAGAATCATTAACCCAAACCAAACCATTGTGAATTTTCAATATGTGTATCAACTTACATAAAACACTGAGCTCGACAGAAGTCCTTAATGGCACGGACAGGGCTTGGTGAACGGCTTCGCAAGTGTACACAGCCCCATTGTCATCTGGATTCGGATACAGAGTCATGGTACTAATGGCATTTTGACGATGATCGTCAGCATCTTCGACGCTCACTTCTACGTTATCTGAAAACAAAAAAATAGATGGAATAAACGAAAAAAAATTTGAAGAACCGAATCTCACGTGACCCGAGCATATATCTGCTTTAAAGTCAACGAATAAAAATCGTTACGACGATCCATTGAACCTATTCTAGAAGACAACAGTTAGAATGATGCCAAGAATGATAAAAATAGAGCAATATATCCGAGGAGTTATATATAAATACAGGTTTATTCGATTTCTCCTTTGAACTCTGCTAATTTATGTAAGAATTTTTTGGTGTTATTGCTATAGGATAAAGTTAAATACTGCATATACTGCATTTTTACTATTGTTCTTCCAATAAATCTCATGATATATGATTCAATGTATAAACCAACAACATGAAAAAATAATCTGTATCCTGCATTTCTTTACGATCCATATGAATATTTGATGTTATTTTCGGATTGGACCATTAAATATTTTATACGATTTATTCTATATTCTTTACGATATAATTAAAAGCAAATATTTTTGCTTACAAAAACTTATATCAGCGATTAAACAAAAATCTTGCTGATTTATTCGAACCAATATTCACGGAAGATTAAATCAAAAATTAAATGTTGCGTGTTAAGTATTTAAACAGGGTTCAGCATAAAAATGAACAATTTTTCTTGTTTAAGCTATCGTCATATTCGTTCAATATAATTCAATTCCACGTATCAAACTTTTAAAAAATTCGTAAACAATTACAAAATTTCATTTTTTTATCATAGAAAATATATTTAAAAATTATCAAAGTTATCCATCGCCTTTACATCATCCACGCATAGAAAAACTGAATCATTTTCGATATAGAGTTATGAAAAATTATTGTTTTTTTTATATATTTCTACCGTGAAATGTAAAACGATAAACTTAAAAAAGCTTCGATACAGTAGTTATCCATTTACATCGGTACTCGTGTTTTAGACAGAAAAGTAAAGTGCAATATGTAAATCAACTTAAAGCAAAATAAAAAAAAAAAAAACAGACTTACCTGGGCGTAGTTCGACGTTTTTCCTGTACCATTTGATTTCTGCAGCAGGCTTTCCTCCTCCAACCACACAAGTAAAGGTAAGTGTTTCGGACTCTCTCACCTCCACAGTGCTTCCATTAGGATGTTGCGTTACTGTAATGGTTTTAGGCGGCACTGTTTCCGAGACAAGAAAAAAACAAACAAAATAAAAAAAATTCATCCTCCGGGAATTATGAACTTTATGTGACTAAATGAATGACTTTAATTAACAGCAATGTATGGCTATGACAAATGAACGAGCTAAGTGAGCGTATCGATTTTTCTTCGTCTTTTCTCATCATTTTATAAGAGTCAATTGTCTTGCTTCTTTTAAGTTTTCCTGCTAACCGAGCAAAGAAATGACTCCCATTATGTGAAACCAACGTCGAGACTCATCGTTCTCATTATAATAAATGTTTGGTGTTGTGTGAGTTTGTTCTACCTGATAATAAATTATATCTGTCGGGAATGCTTAGCTTCTAATCCCTATAATTCGCCTTTGTACTCTAAAGGCCCATTGGTTAAAGAAACCGGTGTTGTATTAGCTAGGATACACATCTCTCCAAATCGATTTTTGTATTATTTCTGTACATTAAGCTTATCACTGCTTAGATAAGGACATTTGAGAATTAATGCACTATAACAGAAAGCAAGAGCTTCTCTTTTCTGAACACGACGTGATTTAGCTTTTATATAAACACTCGAAGCGTTATACATTAATTGCTTTCTACTCTATCATTACGATGCCAACATTATAAGAATGAGTTAAGAATATTGTACAACCATTTTTTCTTACTTTTTATCATTAAATTTAGTTAAATCGGTACTTAGACAGAAAATGGATGTAACTTTAACGTATTGAATTTATTTAGAACTCGAACTAAAATTCTAAGCTCTCATCGAATTGAGATCTTTTTTTTTCCCGAAAGTATCCGAGATATCTTTAGACTTCGTCGATAAAGCTACCTTTGTATAAAATTGCCATTAAGACTGTCGCTTTTAACGGGCGATATCAAAATACGGAAATTCTCGAAAGTAGAAAAATCAAAAGATAACATTTCAGAAACGATACGCGTTTACCATCCTTGTCCAAAATTCAAACATTGTATCCTCGGAAAATGCTACACAACGAAACAAGATCTCAGTGTTCCTATTACATAAGTAATGACAGATCTGTCATGGATTGGAAAAGAAAGGAGTGGGTTATCTCGAGAAACAAAAATCCTTATGAAGTAGGGAGGCTTGTATCCACATGCGCTACACTGAAAAGCACTTGTCCGAGAAACAAAAAGACATTCGCATGCTTTATCTGTCACAAGTCATTGACATTCGAACCACGAAATAAAAGAGAGGTGGTTTGAAAGTATCTAAGGAAAAATAAAAAACATTTCATATATTTCTAGAGAATAATTGAGAAAGATGGAAATTCAGTGTTATATCAAAATGATATCGTATTAACACGTGATGCTGACTTATTCTTATTAAATTTCCATGTATTAATCATGATTAATCTTTCTAAACCGGAAATTATGACACTGATTACGAAGATGTGATTAAAATATACTTACGTAATACTGTAACGTGTGCGTCGGCCCTGATGGCTTTGTTGTTCGCTGCTGGACCAACCTGTAAAATAGTAATAAAAAGAAAATATGTAACCAAGAATCAGCAACAGATTCGTATGGCAACGTATTGGAGAACTAATATCGCTCATCTATTAAATGTCAAAGATATATGAGGACTAAAGGAGTTGCAGTTGCGACACAACTCTTACTAAATCCCAAATGTAATTTTAGAAAGGACTCTTGTCGAATTAGGAAAAAATTCTAAATTTAAAACGAAGTGTGCAGTAGCAGTATCGATCATAGTAAAAAATATCTTTAAGGAAAAAGAAAAAGAAGAAAGATATTTAATGTTTTAGTCAATACGAAGACAGAAAGAATCACGAAAAAGAATGGAGCTAGACTTGTACAAAGTAGATTCTACAGCTCGGCCTGATGACTTAAAGACTCGGTTCTGGCCGAAGAAAAAGCTAATGATGCAAAGAAGACCGACTACTCAAACTGACTTTTGAGAACTGCAATCTGTCATAAAATTGAAAGAATGAATATATAGTGAGGAAGTGTGTTTGCTTGTGGACTCTCGGATATTTTTTTTCTCGTGAAGAATGTAAATAAAGAGTAGAACTGTCAGGTGTCGAAAAAGTATTTGGCATTTAGCCGATAGCCCGCTGAACGAAGTGCTTTTCCAGTTTTTCTGTGTTATGATGCCATATTGGATCTATATGCAGCTATCTGTCACCAACAGGGACACCATTATCGTATCCTCTGCCAAACAGCCAAAGAAGCACACAAAAAATTCTTTGTTAAATAAGACAAAAGGCAAATGTTTGTGAAACTAATCGAATTGTATATAAAATGAACACGCGTGATTTAATTTATAGAGATTTTACAATTGATTCGGACGTGTAACTTTTTTATTTGTATTAATTAGTAGGCATTTACTTTAACCGTACTCTATCTATCAATTCTGAGTGTAATAAATTGCGTAAAAACTGTTGGAAATTAAAATGAATCTTTTAAAATGATAAATTACGCTTCATTAATTTAGTGAGTGAGAATTCGATGGAAAAAAAATCAGGAAAAATGATCAGCTGACATCGTGTGTCCGGTCAATTTATAAGAAAATGTTTGGCACGAGTTGACGAAGTAGGCAGAGTTAACATTGTTATTTTCTGATATATGACTCGATGTAACTTGATTATATTAACCGATGTTTCCTTTCAAAAGTTTTTTCAGAGATTTGAGATATCTTAATCATAAATTTTTAATTCGAAATTTTATAGTCGGCCACTGACACGAAATAAATTAAAAATGACATCAAATTATATTTAGAGTGAACGTAATCGGGAAGGAGGCCAAGCAGAGACGTCTTTAAAATATCTTCGATGGAAATAAGAAGTGGATTGTACTGTTTACTTTAAGTGAACTTTCTAATAAAATTTGCAAAATTATGCAGCCAGTGAATGTTGGAAAATTGGGATGAGGCATTTTATGTAAATGTAAGTAGTAAACTGATTATTGTTCTAACTCCTGTCATAGAAGAATTCCTATATCGTTAGCCCATTTTGCAAATCACATATGGAAATTGAGAAAAGAGCATTCAACATTTCCATCACGTCTCTCGTTTCTTTCCAGCTGCAAAAATTATGAAAAGAAAAATGCTAACATGCAAAAGCACTACGCAACTAACTTTTTTTATAAAATATTTTTATCCATATTTACAATTTAGGACAGGACATCATCATTTATTATAAAAACATCATTATAATATTATATCTATCAAATTTCTCTGGATAATTATGAAGGAAAATCATTTGATTATTTAAAATCTTATGTCCAATCAACTCAATACTTTTAATTATATTATTTAAAATAAATAAATAAAAAGAATCTATCTGATATTTTCATTTACAAAAAGAATATAAATCCATCTGAAAATGTTGAAGATAAATTGAAAGAAATTTTACTCCGCTAATTAGGCAAAAGAATTAAAATTTTTTTTCTTCGTTTAATTATTAACTTGATTTATATTAAGTTCTGTTCTTAATTTAGTTTTATTAATTATATTTGTAATGAACTCTCGATATTATATAGATATATCACGAGAAATGTAGGACGTCAAAAGTCTAACTTGGTGACTTCCCATTTAAACAGTCCCATATATTTGGTAGGAGGTCGTTTAGACTGCGATCGAATTAGTGAATGCTACGATATTTCTGACAGAACTGTTACAGTTCAACGATTGTGAGATTGTTATCGGCACAATGAAAAAGAAAGATTTATTTACGGTCTGCTAGATACAGTGCTTTTGGTATTAATTTTATAATTTTTGGATATCTTCGGATCGATCAGAGAAGCTCTAATTGTCAAATTTTGTAAAGAGCTTATTTAAAAACCGTTTAAACATTCCACTTTGCAATTTTCTCTCCGTTTTCGTGATGGCAGAAATAAACTCACCACGAAATAATTTTCAACTATGCTATTTAAATACTTGTCAGTTAGCTAACACGAATCAAGAGAAGAATCGAGATAAGGGGCGAAGATCGCCAAAAGGAAAGAGTAGATCCAGAGGATAATTAGGAGAGAAAAGAAGCAGCGACAGAGAAGCAATCTACCACAATCACGTATCTAAACTTCACTAATGACTTGAGACTATTGTAAACTACTATTCTCTTAAAGGAGGGTCAACTATCAGAGCCGTAGAAGGATGGTTCGTCGCTTGTCTCCAATAAAGAACTCGTGACCAGATATCAGTCTAACTTTTAATTAGTCATCGGCGAGCAAACGAACGAACCGAATTGATCGGGATGTTGGTATCCATCCGGAAATTTCGACTATAAAAGCGGAAAATCTCGCGGGTATCCGTGGCAAATTAAGTTATCGACGGAAAGAAATCAATCCCGTGCAGGCCTGCTCCTGACGTTCCGCTAATTACGATGGGTAAAACAAGTACTTTTTACGTTTTTCTTGTATTTCTGCCCAACTTTTAATTACCGCTGGCAAAAGAGATGGAATATTCACACGTGGGAAGAAAACTTTAATTATTGCTGAAATGTGAAAAAAGTACGTGCAGTACATCTGTCCTATTTCCACAATAAAAAAATATGCTCTCTTGTATTTCCTCAGTTTTGTTTTATCCCACTACACCAAGGTGACTTCAAGTAACAAAATTCTCACATCTCGGCCTGGCATATAAATTTTAATTTTCCTTTCTCTTTAAAGTATATTCATGAAAACAATTTCAAATATACTGCTAATGAAAATACAATTGCAACATCCAATTAACTGTAGAGTTATAAGAGGAAATAATTAATATTTTTTATTATATTTAAAAATTTGTTATAAAATTTTATAATTGAATGTATCGTAGTAGAGATACATTCCTTATTGGAATTAAATAATTAATTTCCCTCTAATTATTTGAGAAAATTTCTCATTAATTTTTACAGATCATTTGTTAAATTAATGTAATTCATGAATAAATCACTTACTCTTGTGGCTAAACATTTTTAAAGATGTATCTTGTTAATTAAGTTTCGGAAGCATTTATTACAGATATTATTTACAGTATAATTCTAGATATTATAAACAATTTTTCCAGACAAAAATGAAAATATAAAAACAGATAATTCTCTCACCTGACATTGATACTCGCCATCGTCGTCTAACTGCGCATTTTCTATCTGCAGATTGTGAACTCCATCCTGAGGATTACCTATCATCTGGTATCTGGGATAACCTGGGATTGAACGGTCGAAACCTGGAAAAATCGATAGATTTTAGTCGACTGGCTTTCTCGCTTATTTTACCACGAAAGAAATATTCAATTATTGAAATATCGAACACTTCGAGAGATATGACTTTGTTATGATGGACTTTTCGCCCGTTTTTCTCTAGTCTTAAAAAAATAAAAAGTTTTTCCCTCTTCTTCGACCAATAGGCTTTTTTATGAGGTAATTATTATATTCATTAAATTAGCTGATGCCGCGAAAAAGTGCAAAGATTTTCTATAAAAATTGTACAACATGATTTACTACTATAAAACTTCCAAAAAGTGCAAAGACGGACACAAACTCGGGTTATTGACCCGTTAGCTCGAGGGTCCAAGGACAACTTTCTGTTCTAGCTACACATTCTGCCAGTTTTTATTCTTTACTAGATGCCTCTTTTTTCCCTCTTCTAGAATCTACTCTGTTTTCTCTTTTTATACAGTTCGTGCAGCACATCTACCGCGCACCTCATTATCTCCTCTCCTAGATAGAAAAGTAAATGCACTCAATTTTCTTCCTCGTGTTCAATAAAATTTTCAAAATTTTGTGTCGCTTTTGTTTCCTCTTTATATCAGTATCTGTAAAAACTATGTAGAACACACACACAAAAAAAATTTTTTTTTCTTTAAAATTTCACGAAAGAAACAACAATAAATTATGCACCGGTATAAAAATTGAACATTTTACTAAAAGGGAAAAGAGAAGAAATGCGATTTTTCATTATAAAATTAATTTATTTTTAAATAAAATTTTATTATTTTTAATAAGATCGAATTCGTATGTAGTAATACACTGACAGTCTCGTGTTTTAACTTAAAAATATTTTTTGCACCTTCAGTTTCCCACGTTATATAAGAAAAATGAAAGCTGCTTTTTAAATATTCTTTTAACTATAAATAAAATTAAAACTGTTATTTTATAATTAACATGTATAGCTTTATAATATTTTTTTATAAAACTAAAAATAAAAGTGTATAATTTTTTATAAAAAGTATCAATCTCTCTGGTGAATTATATAAATAAAAATTAAAAAATTAATTTTTTTTGAATATCTTTGTGTTTATTAAATTATTTAAATTAAATTCTATGTAATAAATTATTTTAAATAATAAATAATAGAAATTTTTAAACCTGAAGAGAAGACAAACTGTAAAAATATAAAAATAAGAGAGAATTTTTTTCCTCTAAAAATACTTGATAAATGGAAATTACTCTTAAGTTTCTTTTACAAAATAAATTATATAATTATTTCATATAATTTATGTAAATTAATGCTTGAAATTAATTCAATTACTTTATATATTCTCTCATTAAGTTAATAAAACCAGTATAATGTAAAAGAATTACTTTTTTTTTTAACTTCGTTGTCAATAAATCAATCAGTATGTTAGAAAAAGAATAATACTATATCATTATTTAATTACTTAAAATAATTTTTTAATATATAATCTTTACTAAATATTCATTTTTTTAAAAAATATTAACTACTACGTCGTATAATTATAATTAAAATTATTATCTAAATAATTTAAAATTCAGATTTAAATTCAAGAAAGATTAATTTGGAATTTTTGACATTTAAAATACGAAAATTCATTAATATATAAAGATAACTATTTATTATATTCTTTACTTTTTTTTTATTTTTACAAGAAAAACGTTCATTATTCACTCTGTATCATAATCGAGTGAATTACTATTAAATTTTCATATAATTATAGAGAAGTGGAAGGAAAATGACGAAGAAACTACCTGTATTTGAGATATTTCGCCGTGAGATTCATTAACTTTCATCAATAAAATAGTGAGATATTGCCTCAGGCAAAACGGCGAAGGAGAGTTCTTGACGATTGTGCTCACAGTTTATTTGCAACAAGTTTATAAAGTACGAAAATGTTTGCCTCAGCACTCACCTCAGCGAATAAAACTGTTCTTTATTAAAACGTATTTAATACTGGAAATCTTAAAGAATCGCCACGACATCGACATTAATGTCCACTTCAGAAAGAAAGGAAATGCGCTGCGAGTTAACGAAGTCGGAATCGTAAGTTAATTTTCGGCTAGAAAAAAAAGTCGTGAAGATTCTTCGAATGGATATAATTATTAAGCATGAAAGCAAACACTTCTTTCGCTCCAGTCAACCCATAATTATAAGTAGAAACGTATGAAAGCTGGTGAGACAAACAAAATCGATGCATTCGCTAGGTTCGGTGGGGCGTGGAAATTACACGCAATCGATAAAGAGCTTCTCTAAAATCTTTTCCAAACAAATTTTACTTTCGGAAACTCTTAATAAATAAGTAATGTCACGCTTGTCGTTTCAAATATTCTGTTGTTTTGTTCTCTGCTAAACAGATTTGAATTGACTCTCTAATTCTTTTATCAACATTACTTCAATGCCCATCGTCTTTGACGTTTTCATATTTATCTTCGACTAATGGAGCTTCATTTTTAAACTCTCTCTCTACTCGACACGTTCTACAATGTTTCAATCAAGATGAAAAGGCAGAAACCAGTGTTTATTTAAATATATATACACAAATATACGAATATGTCTACCTTACAAATTCTATAAGAGATTTTCTATCAGAGTTCAACGATTTTGAATCCCCGAGAATAACTTATTAATTTACGAGAACAATTTCGATTCTGTAACTTATTAATCGAAGTTTATAGTGAATACCTATTTACTGAAGCAACTTTCTGTAAATAGACCTATAAAAGAATTCCATTGCGAGTTCCAGGTGTAAAACTTTTCTTGCAGTTTCTTTATAAACGAATATAACGTTTACTCAACGTAATGAGTGTAATTGGTCTTCTTGTCTTCGATACACTTTTCCCATTATACGGATAATCAACTTGGCAAATCTGTTCATTCTACTTGTTTCTTGCACTTCTCTGGTGTCCTCTTCAATACTCGTCTCGGGGGAAACAGAAACAGGAATGAAGCGAATTGGATAGTCCTCTCTAATTTACACATCACACAGTTCCCGAGTCTCGAGTTACCTGGTCTCGCGGGATGTCCGAGGTTCTAACTGAGTGTATCGTTGGAGAAGCCATCCCATGTCACTTATTGGCTAGCCTTAAGTTTATTTACGACCAGCGAAGTATCTAATCGGAAGGTTTTCTCAGGTTGGTGTCAATGATTTCTTTGATGTATGGCAGCTTCTGTTTTAACAACAAAAGCCCTATGCACGAGATCGGATCCGTCTGGAATTTTAAGGAAGCTTCTCTTTCCAAAGAAGGAAAAGAAAATTTAACCTTTCAGAAACTTGGAGTATTATATAACTCTTTACTGAAGACACTTTTATTTTCTAATAAAAAAAAGATTCGAATGGATACTCTCTTTTTTGAAATAGTTTTATAGAAGTTATAAAAACTTTATTTATAATTTAAGAATAATACAGGCGTTAAAACGAAAATTTGATCGGATGAGAAAGAACTATTACGTAAGTCTTCGGTAATTCCTCTCGAGACGAGTTGATAAATAAAAAAAAGAAGAATCTTTCTAGTTCACTACTGAGAGTTGTAAACACAGCTTTATCGTGAAACGGCAAGTTTTTCTAGTTCTAATTTAGACACACATGGTCAGAGGGAAAAAAACGAGTGAACCGAGATAAGGAAAGACTCTAACAGAAATCTCTGCGTATATCTTAATAGACAGACGCATTAGCTAATGGAGTCTTCATTAAATATCATACTAGAGAGTTTTTAACATTTATAAATCCAGTTTTTTTCCTTCTTCTTCCTCCTTTCTCCACTAAAAACACGTTCGATTCAGTAAAATAATACACTTAATTCCAGCTTTTCACTCTTTCTAATTTATAATTACAGTCCACTGCTTCACTTACTGATATAATAGTGATATTTTTAATGAATGTGTGTTTTCGTTACCTTCCAAACTGAAATGATATGTACGGTTGCATTATGTGGGCTAATATCTACACTGTATATTAGCCTACATGAATTTTAGCAATTTTGATAAGATCGAGATACTTCTAAGCTTTTTTATTAGCCTGCTACGAACAGAATTATCAGAAGGGAGAGAAACTAACGACCATCACAATATTAATAGGGATAATTTTGGATTTCGGTTTTTTTTCTTAGATCGTCCGACTTTATATGTGGAATTTTATTTCACTCTTGGCTAATTTTATCAACTTAATGTTCTCGAGTCGAATGAGATTACTGCAGAACAAAGTAAAAGTCGTTTCTAACTTTTGTCTCCAGCTAGTATTGTTTGGCTTCGTTCTTTATTTCATTTCTTGCAGAAAGTTTCTTTTGAGACTCCTTAGCATTAATGACATCCCTTATTGTTGTACGCGAAGGAGATACTTTAACAGAATTTCGAGGAAACTTTTAACCCGGGAGGTGTTGATTTTCGAAAGTTTCACGTCTCGTGTATAAGCAATTACACAGATAGTCTTTCATCGCAATATTGGATGGTCTGCAGAAAGAATGTTACTTAAAGGTTTGATTAGACTTATTGCATCTCAGATGCGAATTCCGAGAATTCTTCCTCGACTGTTTTCAAAGCAAGGTTATTAATGACAATTGCGCTTTATCATCAAAGGAATGCAAACGAATATTTCTTTAATCTTAAAACTCGGCATTTACTATTAATTTTATAAGTCCAAATATGAAAAGATATTCCAAAAAACGCAAATTTATTCACGAGATACGAGTCAAACGTTTTAACTCCTCTACCTTAATTAAAACAGTATTTTTTTTTTCTTTTATAAAATAATTAAGTAAGCCATGAGATAAGTGACCTCGATATAATTTATTTTAAAACGAAATTTATTGCAGAAATGAACAGGACACGATAATTTCACACCAAGAAATCTTATCGAATCCTGAATTGGAAAACTTTCTCTATATTATTAATATTAGGAACGGAGCCTAGAGATCATCATTGTGACGTTCTCGTTTCACCAGATAGAGCATGACCTATTTCGAATAAGCCTTCCTTTCAGTATGGCCAGTCATG